TTGATGCAAAAGTGTGTTTGATCTGGCGCATAAATCAGTTACAAAGGGATTTCTCAAAGCCATGAAAGACTTTTTTTGCATATAAATTAGTTATGTACTGTCGTGGCATCTATGTAGCATGTAATTCTATGCGATGTGATTGACTTTGAGAGCAAAGAGCACTCACAAAGAAATTAATCTTGCTCGTCTTTCACAACACCGACCAATTAATAAATCAATTGATTTCACCCTCCATTATTGACAGATTAATTTACAAATTGTTCGAAGGAGGAAAGATTTATCGTGTATTTGTCGTACAACGGTGGGCAATGTTTCTGAAAGGCAGCTGAGCCCCTCTCAATCAGCACCCACTCGAAATAAATGAAGCATTGCGTCTCATTTCACTACACTGTATTACGATAATAGCCCATAACTATGAAAATTTTCCTTACCACCTATTTTTGTACCACATGCGGTGTTTGTGGTTATATTTAATTCCAATATTTTTCACTGTTTATACTCCAACGGTGTGTTTTACAATAGACAAAGTGTGTGTTTTTCTGCATTCTCTTCGGGGAGAAAAGAAAGAGAAAGAAAAAAACACAGAGAAATATAGTTCCATGAAAAGCATGAGGGCTTTGCAAGGGTGAATGAAGCGAAATTTATGGATAATTTGCGGTCTGAGGAGAAATAAGAAAGCCAGAGGAAGTGAACGGCAAAGAAAAGCAATGATGTGGAAAATTTAAGATTTTTCCTCAGTGCTGCTATCGGTATTTACAGGAAAACTCCACCGTTCATACCGGCAAAAACATGCTGCTTCAAAACTATTCACAATGACTTCCTATACATTATTCATATTTCATAGATGTTGTGCATAGATACGTGTTTTCCCAACTACACATGTATGTATTTCTGAAAGTTGTCTAAGTAAAGTGATTTAAATTTTCTTTGGGTATTAATAGTTCCTTTAAGGATACTTCTATAGCAGAATTGCATCAAGTTTCTGTACAAAAATTCAGCACATTTTATTTTTACTATAAAGTTTATCAATATTTGCCAGAATGCAAATATAGAAATGCGCACAAATAGACTTTTCATATTTATCCGACGCTTTTGCTGTACTTTTGTGTGTTGAAAAATTTTCAAACTGCTTCCGATTGAAATACTTTATTTGCCTTTTATGAGAGGATTCCAAAAATTCACTGTGAACATCAATAAACTGAGGTATCGCTACGAAATGTATTTTTTATACTCCCATTGAATAGGATTCTAGTTGAAATAGACAATAAATAAAAATTCCTAGAAACATTTTGTATTCACATTCATTGAAAAGTTTCGCCATTCCCAACAAGAATTCCACAATCATTCATGGAAAGTTGATTTGAACAGGAATTTTCCTCTCCATAGAGATGAAATCTGTACCAAAATTAGTCACACGAGAAAAAGTTTTTCCTGGAGAACATCTCTGATATCATCAGAGAGCAAAAGGTGTTGGAAATTTATTTCCGTGCACCGTAAAATGGGTGAAATACAAAGAGGAAGTTGTAAAAGCGCCCAAAGCATTTTGTTTTGACATTTATAAATTGTCTAGTCTTATTTCAATTCGGGGAAAAAAAAATCTTTGAAGCCGAAAAATAGAAATTCATCAATTCAAGATGACTTTTATTGAGTGACAATGAACTTCTTCTGTCACTGTGAATATTTGCCAATACAAATTGCCAAAAGCCATAAGATAAATTACAAATTAAAATATCTTTAATTTTAACATATTCTGTGTGAATTTTTCTGCTACAGTTTGAGTAATTTTTCACACTCTTCAATATATTTACGCCCACATTCTTAGCTGACTCATTAAAATGCATGCAAATATTTGAGTGAACTCACACAAATATTTTATAAATTGAATTTGCCTCAGTATTAACATTGGAAGTTTTCATATGTAAATGAAATTTCGTAATTTGCATGAGCTCGGCTTTTAAAAATTTTTGCCAATTCCACAAAAATCTTCCACGAGAAATATACATATTTCAGAGGAAAATTCACTCACATCTTGTTTGCATATTTTACAGAGTCTAAAATGCATTCGCTTAATGTTGGGGAATTTTCACGAAAAGGAACACACAAAAAATATTCTTTTGATTTTATCTACGCAATCAGACGAGAATTCACAATATGGAGTTACAAAGTTGTGGATACAAGAGTTTAATTAAGTGTTCGTGGCGACATTCAATCTCAGACATTTCCCAAAAAAGTAATAATGTGGTAAACCTGTAAAAGTATTTATAGCTTGAGGGTTAAAGTCATTATATATCTTATAAGCTCTTCACAATTTGTCTTCAATACGTTCAAGTGACTCTGTTCCTCAAGGCGTTTGTCCTGAAAAGACAAAACACACAATGCATATTGTTAGAAAATGATAGAATCCTGAGAATACGAAGTCTGTCAACTGAATAAGAATCTCATATGCCGTGTTCTCAGTATGATTTATATATCGGTGTAGTGTAAGTATGTAAATACATAGCAAAGCATGTACTCTGGCTAGAATATTTTTAGTTTACTTCCTCGATGTGCAGTCTGTTGTACAAAAATGCACAATTGCATTTGTGCAAACTCACGTGAGAGGAACTCTCCAAATAATACAGTATTACATTCCTGGTTCTCAGTTAAAAAATTCAATGACGTGAAATTGCACGGGATTCGTTTTAAATTTTTAATCATGAGTTACGGTGAAGTCAATTTGAACCAGAATTCATTTGACGGAAAGTTCTTATTGAATTGAGTCGCGTTTTCACGAAAGATTGCCACTCATTTATCATGGAGTTTAGAGAGAAGATCATATAAAAACCGTCGAAGATGATGATGAAGGATGATGATGACGATATGGAAATATTGTCGTCATCTCACCTCCTCGTTCACAAATTTGTGCTGAAGTCAACCCCTTGTTGATGAAGCTCGTGAGAATGAAGAGATTCATCAATTTTCAATAAAGAAGATTTTGCTTTGCATCTCATGCTAAAAGTCTTTGAACAAAGAAAAGTTCAGTTCTATTGACTTCTATGCGGTTTGTTTGTGGCATTTCAATTATTTATTTATTAAATTCTGATGTGATATGAGTGAAAGAAGGGAAAGGAGTTGCTTCTTCTCGAAAATGAGAATGAAATGAAGTGTGGTTAACGAGATTTTCATTAATGGAATTTCAATGAAATGATAAATATTATTACAATCATGTAAACTTTTCGATTGCTTCCTGTAGCATTTATAGATAGAATTGTGTTGTAAATTGTTCAGTCATAAAATTCGATACTCACGCAGAGATGTTTTAATTGAACTCTAATCTTTCATCGATTTATGTGATGAATTTTGCAACTTTTCCTATCACAATTTATCTATTGATTGTTTGAATATTTAATGCCTTTTGTTCTAAATTGAATTCTAGCATGTATTTTGATTAATTGACAAATTACTTTGCAACATTTCTCCTTTAATCCATCAAAAATCCTTTTTTTTTTACAGGATTTTCAATTTTTCCGGAGTACAGATTTCTCAAAATTCAATAATCCCTTCGGCGTTACGCTAAATTGAATGTCGTATATCATTCATTCAATTGAGCATTATGAGAAAATTTCCTCGAAGCAAATATGATGAATTGTGATGGAATTTTTTTTGGGTCATATTTTCACGTAAATGTCTCTGTAAATGCTGGAAAACATCACATGGGACAAAAGCTCACCCAGTGTGCATAATGTGAGTGAGGATGTATTGATGGGAAAAAAAAACATTTTGAATAAATTTGTGGAAAGCTTTGTGAGCAAAAGCGTCTGATGATCATTTTTCACTCATTTCGAGTCGTGTGAAAATTCAGATGAAACCGAAGGAAATTCAACTCATACATATTTTCGCGACGGCGTGAAGTGTGAAAAGTCACGCTCTGACGATGAGAATTGGCAATAAAAATTTTATGAACAAATAAAATTAATACACTTTGCCATAAATCACATAATAAAAGTATGTGGTGTTGTGTTGTATTGTTATGGATGGAGAGAAAGAAATGGAATTTTGTGCCATTGTTGGGTCCGTTTTGTTGCCACCGAGTCAAATGATTGGGAGACGTGGGGAAAATGTGTATTTAATATATATTCCATCGTGGGGGATAAAGTGTCCTTTTCCCACCTCTCTAAATTCCGATGCCGTTCGCCTAATAAACAGCGTGTGAATTGAGAGGTATTGAGGGAACGTCCAGAAGGAAAGCCACTGCAGATCGAGAGTGGCATCGAGAGAGAGTCCCCGGAAAGGTGACGGGGAAAATCCCTCCTTAAGCACCATTAAAATTGATTTCACCCAGAGAGTCATGTGAGTTGAGGCATGATGGGTGCTTTAGTAACCATCTTAAAAACTTTAAAGTGTGTATTAATGAAGAGCTTTTAGCACACGACGTGTCGTAAATAACACTCGTGGGATATTATTGGAAGAGCGTCTGAGTTGAAGCACACAATATCTTTTACTAGCCTCTTAATTTGTTTTTATCATGAGCTATTTTCAATTTAATTTACGACCTTCGACACTTTTGCAAAAATTCCCTTTTTATGATCTGAATTAATCTTCTGCACTTCACCATCATGCCCAGTAAATATTGATTTTTTCTCATCCATAACGCGTGAGCAACATTTACTGTGCAAAAATGCTCTATTGAAAAATTTCTCACGGTAAATTTTCTCTGTGATTTAGCGGAAAAAGACATCGTCTAAGTGGAGAAGGGGCACGAAATTTCACTTCCTGTGGAAGTGGAGATTGAAAAATTCCTCACTCCTTGTGTTATTCACCCCCTTCCAATTTCATTTGCCATGTCATATTGATTTTCGCGAAGAGAAATCCCTCCGAAATCCTTGTTTCACAACTAACTTCGCGGAGCCTCTTGTCTTCATTGAGGACTTTATTGAGGAGATATCGCGTGCAATTGCCCCACTTGTTTTTCTTCACATTTTTTTTCCTTTGTAATTCAATTTGAAATTTCTCTTTTTCAGACACACAAGAGCCGACAGTCGCTATGATGACGGTGAAATCAGTACGCCGAGGATTTACGTAATATTTCTTCTTAATGCCCTCAGAGTGAGGGTTTCATGAAAGGGAGAGAAATCAGTGTTTCACAAGTGAAGACGTATCGCTGAAAGTCTAGCAAATGCAATTGAATTTCAAGACGACAGTGTCAAGGGGTGTAAAGCATTGAGTAATTTGACTAAGTTCGCTACAATTGAGACACCTTCGCTTGACTTTTTGCACCGCACCGTGCAGAGCCCCTTGGCAAGAACCAAGACAAGAATTCTCCCTGATAAGGCACATAAAGTGAAACTGAGAAAGAAATGATCAAATAAGAGAGAGCATCAAAGTTGGAAAAATCATCCAAGTCACATTTACCATTTGGAATCTAAAAATCTCTTATGAATATATGATAGAGTGAAAAATCGCATTTCATCGTGAAATTTAATTTTCAAAAGTTCCTCCAAGTGAAAAAATGTGGTGAGAGTGAGTGCAAACTTTTGTCACCTTGTGCACAGCGTGAATGGGGGGACATTTTTGCTGTGATAGAGATGTGAGGGTGAAAGCAAATCACCTCTAAATGGAGGAGAAAACTGCAAAAGATAGTGACTTGTGTGAATTGATGGCAGTGTGTAAGCGTGGGTGATACTTAGTGCGGCTCCCTTTGAGCTTCTTGCTCGCAATTTTCACTCACTCATTCTCTGTCTCTCTCATGTGCTTTGCACAGCCAGGCACAATGATGATGCATCAATGTTGGCAGCTTTTGATCATACTCACGACAGTGACTGTCTTGTCTTGTGCCTCTCGAGATGCGTCGAATTCAGTCTATCGGAGCGAAAGGCATTCCCAGACCACAGACCATCGAACACAGAGCATTCACCGTGAGCGGACGCGACGCAGTCATCTCATGGGATATTCGGAGTCTGTCGAGCACATCACGGAGAACAATACAGCACTGTCCAGTGAGGATATAGACCAGTATTTTGTGGATCTGATGACCGCACCGGCGGCGACTTCTCACATTCTCCAGAACGCCACATGCATTGAGCATGAGGATCCCGATTGTGTCATCAATCACAATATCACGTGCGTCGGCGATCCAGTGTACTGCAATCTCACCTACGATGAGTACATGAGTCTGCTCTATGACTACATCTATCCCACAATCCCAGAGTGGATTCTCATCTTCTCGCATTCCATCGTCTTTGTGATGGGACTGGTGAGTTTGTTCGGAAGTAAATACAAATGATTCTTAAGCCAGAGTGGAAGACATTTGATTAGACATATTTACTTTAGTAGGGTTTTGTGGTGAATTCTAGGGGAAAAGCATTTCATCTCTCAATTAATACAGTTTGTGTTGCTTCATCGATTTGCAAATTGAATTGAAAATTCCATATAAATCCCATTTCATCAGGCCAGAGAAATGCAAAATTATATGAATAGAGATGCATAAAAGCTCTTAATTTATATAACGAGGTGATTTCAGTGTTATCATCAATTCACTGTGTAACTCTGTATGCAAACATCCAAATTACCAAAAAGTTATTTAACGGGAGGAAAATGTGGTGATAAACATATTGCAAGTATTACACATGAATGCTGAAATAAGAGGATTAGGAGCAATGTTTTTAAGCATGAAATCTCTCTGTAGAACAGTGAGTTGTGATGTGTAAATAACTACAAACACGTGGAGTGATAATTGAAATGAATTTCTTTCTTATTACATCACATGAATCCCTTTTAAATTCTACACACATCAAGAGCTTAAGTCAATTAATTAATGAGTTTTATTAGCAAAGCTATTAATTTTTCAGAAAGGGTTCATTCCCGAGGGAAGTCATAAATTACACATACTCCTTGGCTCTCAGTGTCAAAATATCCCTCCATTTACATCAGCAAATATGCCGATGATTAATTTTTGAGCACAATAAATGTGGGAATATGTTGAAAACACATTCTGGCCTTTTTCGTGTGTGTTTATCTTAAAGCCCCGAAGGCAGAATGTGAAAATAGGTCTCTGGTGCTTCGTCTGTCGTAAGTTTAATGTTATGTCACATTTTGTCCTATATAGATAATCACAATCGATATGGTTTTATGGGGGTGGTCGCCAAAAGAATATTCCGTGAAAGGAAGACTGAACGGAACAGTGTGTCAATAAAATTCCTTAAATAGTAAGACATTGTTGAGCATCATCTGCCTGTTCGACTATGTCTGGGTGTTTTTCTTCATTGGGGGTTGTACAATCCTTGTCCCTTGTTTAATTAGAAATTGCTGTGGTGCTCAAATGAACTCCTATATTATTGGACTAGGAGGCTTTTATGAACTCATAAACGCAGTCTGGTCTCTGTCGCTCATCCTCTCCCCTCAGCTGTTGTGCTCTTGCTGGACCTTTGACCAATTTTGTCGAGATTTTTGGGGTGGGTGGACTTTATTGGGTGTCGATAAAAGCATTTTCAATAGTGCCCCAGTGACTATCGGATGAATTTTAATTAAAATCATGGACGAAACCCCAGCATTTGCATTCAACTGTACAATTTATATGTGCTCTCTATGCTCATTTATAATTTCAATATGATTAAATTCTTCTGCACATATAGAAAAATTACATGAAGGGATTTTCCGAATTCTATGATCAGATTCACTGTCAAATCTTCTCTCTGTTTCAGGTGGGAAATGCTCTGGTGTGCATTGCTGTGTATACAAATCACAGCATGAGAACTGTAACGAACATTTTTATTGTGAATCTGGCTGTGGCAGACTTTTTTGTGATTCTCTTCTGTTTGCCACCGACGGTGGTGTGGGATGTGACTGAAACGTGGTTCATGGGGAAGACAATGTGCAAGATTGTCCTGTATTTTCAGGTGAGTCTTTAATTCCATATATTGATTTTTTTTCCCATATGTTCAGCAGAGGTGAAATATTTTCAGCATTTATCCAATTACCTATGATTTCCCATCCTCTCTGAATTATCCCAATAATTTTTCAATCCAGCTGCGGTGTTGAGGGTGTGAAAATTCAATTGTGTAATGAGGGAAATTCGTTTGGGGGGTGAGATAATTGTGAATTATCAGAGAAATGTGTGGGTGTGAAAATTTGCTGAGTGTTAAATTTAGAGTGATTTTGTTGCTAAAAAAAAATTGTAAAATTCATCTCACACGTGGAGTAGAAACCAAAAATTAATAGACTGGAAAAGCATATATTTAGAGAAATTTCATGTAGGTAGAATTATTTGGCATTCTAATAAATGTACTTCCTCAAAAGAGGTTAAGTGAATGAATGCTTAGTCATTGGAATTCGAGGGAAAAACATTTAATGAATGTTTCTACATATATACTCAAGTAATCACTCCCACTCGCAAAATATCATAAAACGTATATTTTTCCTTGAATTTGACACACGTGCCTTTTTCACGATGGTAAGAATTCTTGAGAACCCTTGTCGCAAAATGCGAATACTCTTCAATTGCTATCGAGAGTGCTTTTCAACATGTTTACAAGCTAAGGGAGAATGTAGCGAAAAATAAGCGTGAAACTTTTCCTTTCTCTCTATCGACAATTCAAATTGAAAATGTTCCTTCAGGGAGGAATTTAGCGATTTTGTTCCATAACTCTTCCTACAAAGTTAAAAGAATAAATGCAACATAAATCTATGTGGAATTGATATTTTTACTTCATTTTTTGCTTTGATTTTTTAACATTCTTTTGCATGAAACATTTTATCCACACCATTCACAAATGTTTCCCAATGATTTTCTCACCCTGTGAAACTGCAAATTTAAATTTATTGGGAATCATACTTGGGGACACAAATAAAAGGTCACCAAGGAAACTTGGTTATTCTGAAGTGTTCTGGATCCGTCATTTTGCCTATGCAACAATTTCTTGCGTGTGACAAGGGTTGTGGAACGTGAGAAACTTAAGAGATGCGTGAGGAATTGTGTAAACAGGAAAAAGAATGTGTTGAAAGTTTTCAGTGGCAATTTGTGGCTTCAGCAAAGGAAATGGTGTGTGTGTGATATAAAAAGGAGTTTGAGAATATCACGTCGAAATGTGATTGATGACACTGCAAAGTTTGCATTCCTGGAGAAATTCGCTCGTAGGTTTGAGAATAAATCATCAAGTCATATCACGAATTGCGTCACGTTAGTATATTTTGCATAAAATATCTCCCACTGGATTCCAATTACGCCTCCAAATCACTACTCCATCCATTTTACTCCTCCGGAAAACGCCCACGGGAGTTATTGAGCTCTGATCTCAATTCCAGTGCTTCTGAAATGGAGAGCTTTTTTTTCCCTTCGCGCATTTCAGCACTAGAATTTTCTCCAATGAGTGCTAATTGAGATTAATAGTCATTGTGAAAAATTAATTATGCAGAGGAATGAAAATGAGTGGAGTAGATAGAGAGAAAAAAATAAATTGAATTAACGCTGCTTCGTTGATTGAAGTGAATTTCAAGGGATGTTGACTTATGAGTTGATCCGTGTAGCACTGAAGAGCTCATGTAGTTTTTTATCGATGCTCTGTACTGTTGGGGAGACTGATGGGGTGAAAACTATCAGTATTGTAAGTGTTGAAGATGATGGAAATCACCACAAATACTCATCCCTTCCGCAACCCCATAATTGGTGGAAGAAGCATCGCCACAGAGTTCGTCAATTCACACACACAGCATAGGTTGTCGGGGAACGGATGAGAAACGAGAAGTCATCAATCCTAAGATGGCTATATATGGGGTAGGAATGTGTGAAAGTCCTGAGGAGATGAGCTGAAATATTCTGTGGCTGAAGGAAATCTCATTTTTTCTGCCTTCACCCTCACTTTACACCCTCTCATGATGTGTTTAGAGATGAACATCCTCGGCGGTGAAAGCATCGGATGATTTCAACGGTGCAGGAATTTCACAGTGAATTTTCTATCCTGTCATAAAGGCATTTATTTAGTGCCTGAGCGACACAATATCAAATACACGCGAAACTCATAAATCAATTGGTCGAAGTCTCATATTTCACGGCAGAGGAGAGAATTTACAAGTTTTTCACTGAACAACGAAAGCTCACATCTGCTCGCGATGCCACTTGGCTTTTTCCTTCAATTTAAAATTAATTATAACTTTCGCCATTGAGAATTTCTATATTGTCACTTAAAACCTTAGTCCTTAAATGTAATTTTATTTTGCAGTTTTGACCATGAAGCACTTCCCGTGCAATCAATTATATAATTAAGCTTAAATTACACTTTGCGGTGAACTCAGTGGGTGAATGACTAATTTATTACCCGGTAACAAGTTTGCGGTGTCTAATACAACTTACAATTATCCTGATAAATGAGCTTGAAGCTCGTGTTGGGATAAAGTGCAGGGATTCACTTCTTTGTTTGTGCTTCACAGCATCCCAAACGTAAGAGACATGCGAGTAATATTCGCTGCTCGTAATTAGTTTTGAGGTTTGCATATGTTCCACATATGATTAATTAAGTGGTGAGAAAGTGAAATACAATGTCGCAAAATAGAATGTGTTTTATCTCCTTAATTGGCTCTATCCTGGCCACTCCTTGGGCTATTCAGACACTGCGACAAAAGGAAGCTTGTTCAGCTTAACACTATGAATTTATTGATTGAGCTCTTATCTTTTAATATATAGTCTCTGCAATAATAATAATAATTTGGAAAGAAAATTCAATGGATCCTTGAAATTTTTCGCTAGCGGAAAATGAATTGTTTAATGGGACTTTTTATGGGCTGATGCCAAATGATGGAAATTGCAGTGATGGTTATTGAAACTTTCGAGGCGCTAGTTTTACTCACCAGAGAATCCTTCATTTCCGGATCTAATTGCCCATCTATGCGATGTTACATTGATCTGCTAGCATTCTCCTCGCCGACACATTAGACGTTTTGAACTTGCGAAAGCAATTTCCGATGTTTTCATTCTCTTCCATAACTCTGTGCTATTGAATTTCAAGGGAGACGCGCCACGGATGCACTCGTGGTGGCTGTTGGAGCCCACAAGCGACCACATTTAAACTACTCAATGGGACGGGTAATGGGAAATCTCACAGCTCGTCCTTTTCCACCACCAGAGACTCACACGAGAAAATTTCTATGTCTGGGCATTGTGCAATTTTCACAATTTATTAGTTCGACTCGTTCGACTTTAGAGTTGGTGAAAGCTTCTTGTGGCTTCTGTCATAAAACTTTCCACGCACGATGACGGCGATGGAAGAAAAAAGAGTCGTGCATCTGACAAGGGAAGAGTCTGAGATGCTCTTTGAGCCATTTTCCCACCCACTTGAATCGATTTTTCGTCACATTTTAATCATCACCGCCGACCCTAAAAGTTTATCTCTCTCTCTCTCTCTCGCCATTGGCGACTGTGACGAACGAAGTGACGGTGAATTCTGTCCCATATGGCTGATTACCATAAACAATTTTCCAGGCTTTTCATTTACGATTTGGTGAGCGATTTAATTATATGTTTTTGTTGTTCATCAACTTCTGTTGTGATTCAGGAACACTTCCAAATTCCTCTTTGGTCAATTTTGTTAGTAATAAAGTTTACAATCAAAGACATTTTTCAAACAGTTCACCTTTAAAAAATGTATTAAAATTGTCGCATATTTTCTTAAAGTGTCCCCGAAAATGAGGGGCAATAAAATGTCCCGTAAATCTCAGAAAATCTTGTGCTGGACCTGGATAATAAAAAAGACATTTTCACAGACTCCTCATCAAGATCTGTTGTCGTCTAAACTAAGAAGCTGTGGTCATCAAATTGTCTTATTTCACGAATGACTTCTCAAGCGTCCCAACAATTAAATGACCTCTTCTAATTTGGAGATAATTGAGTGAATTAATATTCCAGAGGCTTCATTTGGCTAAAATAGCAGTTTCCTCCGCACTTGTAATGCTTTCTGTGACATGTCTTCGCATGCTTGAAGTTCATACCATCAGTGGGTATTAGCAAGTTTTAATCGTTGTGGAAAAAGTTTCTCTTAACATGTGTGTCTCTTCCGTCCCTTCATTGGCATAGAATGTTCTCAATATGGTCGGCTTTTGCTCTCCACTCGTAGTTTTTATTGTGGAATGTGGTTTTCGTCAAAGCTCCAGTACTCCATCTTGTACCACATATATTGTATGCCACGTAAAAGCCTCTCAGGAAAAGTTTGAGAGCAGCACAAGCTTCACATTGACCTTGCCCTTCTGGCCGATCGTCTCTCCCTATCGCAATTTTCACACAGCCGGAAGGCAAATATTTCATACGGATAGAAATTCATATCGCTCAACATCTCTATATAAGGGATGGCAAATGGACTCTGTGACATATTTTAAGACTGTGGAGGGTGTTTTTTATTGGCTTCTCATTAAAGGGACTTTTGCGTGTGGCGGCAGTAAAATAAAATATATCAAATGCAGCACAAATTTCATTTCCCAGTCTTGACGACACACATTAAAATTCACCATTAAAGTTGGTGAAGGAAAATGATGAGTGATCTGGAATTATCCAGCAAATATTTACTTTAGGCACTCATCCCTCCTCGCATGTCTGGGGTGGAAAATTTGTGCAGGACCGTTGGACTTAGAGGTTCACATTCCCACCATATTTATGCCCAGGGAAGAAATGGTGAGAAGGATCAAATAGAACAGCCCATAAATGAAATGGCATTTTGATGGCTTTATGGTTTCACTGTGAAATTGCTTCTGACTTCGATTGCGAGAGCCGAAAATTTCTTACTGAAGAGATGGCTAAAGTGCTGCTCAAGTGGAATTATGAAATTTTTTTTTCGCTTATTCATGATGATATCCATGATGATATCTTTCGAATTTTTTATGACAAGTGCGTTGGGGATTTTAATGATACATTTGC